CTGACTCTCACCAGTGGCTATGGATGAAGTCACAGGCGATTTTCAGCCAGCACCAGCCAGGTAGGTCTTAACATGAATGAAGCTAGCCCTTTGTTGGGATAAAAATGAAAGGATACTTCTCTATTAGTAGTTGTTGTTTTATACCAAGGTAGAACCAACTGACAGTTGACCTTCCAGTGAGCTTTCAGAAACTGTAAATTGCACAGGAGGAGATTGCTTATTTCTTTCTCTTGGAGCAACTGGTAGATTTCAGCCATATGCTTGTGGGTTGACAGCACAACTTCTTACCACTAGACCACCAGAGCTTTGTTTTAGAGGATATCCTTCATGGGCTGGCTCCTTCAAGGAACCTGTTGCCCTGGAAGAACCTCCTTGCTGCAGCCCCATTGCATTGTTGTCCACATAATAACAAGTCCAGTCTTGTCCACGTAATAACAAGTCCAGTCTTTCTAAACTGGAAATCAATTCTCTATGTGGAGGATGGTCTGTTTCATGAACTAATGTGAGGTGATGGTAGCTTGGAGTTGGAAATTGCTTTGTTTTCTTAGTACCTTCTGTACCATTTTTTTCCATACTTAACCTTCATTAGCAGTGGCAGTGTTATTGTTGCCTTTGGCACAACAGATAAAGGAACTGAAACTCATCCATCTGCGGATAGAATGTGAGTTCGGGGCCAGTTTTCTGCTAGGTTACTGAGTTTCTTAAAAAGGATAGTGTGTGGCCCTCACTCCTGGCCAAACACCAAAACTAGTCAGAAGTATAATCTAGATCCTACAGTGTAAAGGCGGTATCACGCAGAAGAGTAATCTGCCTTCAAGAGTTTGGTGGTTGTGTATTTTGGGGAGTATGTTAGTTACCACTTGTGGAATATATTACCCCAAAACTTAGTGGCTTAAAAACAACAAATATTTATTCTCTAGAGGTCTGGTTAGGTACCTTCAGTTCCAAGTTTTATGAAAGGAGCTCTGGTGGCCTCATGGCAAAAAGCTTCCCTGCAGTCTCAAAGGCATGTGGTTTGACTCCACCAGCTGCTCAGCAAGAGAAGGATCTGTGGTCTCCTCCTTTGCAATTAACTGTCTCTGAAAACCTGCCAGAGGGTCAGCTTTGGACCAGTTCTAACTTGATGGTACACAATAGTGGTCCGAAATCCCAGCATAGTTGGGCTAGGTGCTTGAGGTTCAAAGTCTTATAAAGTTGCTATGAAGCTGTCAGAGCTGAGGTCTCTTATCTGAAGATCCTTTTCCAAGCTTACTCCTGGGGCCTCTGCTGGATTCATAGTCTCTTTATCTCTGGGTGATGGCTTCCCTCAGTCTCTCACATTGGTGTTTCCAGATATAACCTACACTTCCATTACTATGGTGGCTAGCTTCTCCCAGAGTGAGTAGAGAATGAGAGATAAAGAGAAGGTGAGTCAGATAGCACTCAAGCACATCCAAAGATTTTTTTTTTAAAATAACTCGAGCACCACAACAAGATAAAGGAGAATAATCCAATTGAAAAATGGGCACAGGATATGAACAGACACTTCACCAAGGGAGACATTCAGATGGCCAACAAGCACATGAAGAAATGTTCAAAATCCCTAGCCCTGAGAGAGATGCAAATCAAGACAACCATGAGATACCATCTCACTCCAGTAAGACTAGCAAAATTTAACAGAACAGCAAGCAACAAATGCTGGCGAGGTTGTGGAGAGACTGGAACCCTTATTCACTGTTGGTGGGAGTGTAAAATGGTGCAACCACTATGGAAAGCATTGTGGCTCTTTCTCAAACAGTTGCAAATAAAGATACCATTTGACCCAGCAATTCCACTACTGGGAATATACCCTAAAGAGACCATAAATGACATCCAAGTAGATATATGTATACCCATGTTTATCTCAGCTTTGTTTACAATAGCAAGGAGTTGGAAACAACCTAAATGCCCATCAACAAATGAGTGGGTAGAGAAGCTGTGGTATATTCGCACAATGGAATACTATGCTGCATTGAAGAATAAGGAACTCATGCAATATTATTCAAAATGGGTGACCCTGGAGGACATTATGCTCGGTGAGGTATCTCAGTCACAAAGGGACAAATGCTATATGGTGCTACTGTTGTAGAATGAGGTTGGCATTGGGGTGGGGTAAGACTGAGAAAAACTGGATGAAATAAGTTTATGGCATTGAAGTCTATGGGGGAGAGAATAGTCTAAAAGTATTATATTTTAGGGTATTATTTTTATCGTAGGAGTACGCAATGAGGGTTGCAGAGTGGATTATATTTGGGGGCAGGGGGTGGGGTTTGGGGAGGTGCGTGGGGGGGGATGGTGTACCAATGAGGGAGTTTTTCTTTTGCTTTTCAAGGAGAGGAGCAAAGGGGAGGAGGGGGGAGGGGTTTGTGTGGGGAGGAGGGTGCAACAATGAATGAATGGAATTCCAAAATCTTAGATGTTCATTGAAATGAAAAATAAACAAACTAAATTAATAAAACAAAACAAAACAAAAATAACCTAATCCTGGGAGTGACATCCTGTCACAAATCTATTCTTTGTTAAAAGTAAATCCTTAAATCTAGCCTACTTTCCAGGATCATAGAAAGATATCACCACTAGGAAGTGGGGAACACTGGGGCCATTTTGGAGGGCTACCTTGTTACCTTGTTACCCCAGTTCTTACTGCCATTTCTAGAAAAAGGAAATTCTTGTTTTTTCTTCCTTCTTTTTAAATTTTTATTTTATTATTTTGTATGTGTGTGTACTATCAAATCAGATCTGACTGGTATAGGAGACTGCCCCTCCTTCTCCAGCAGAGCACCTGGTGGATTTGAACCGCATATCTCTGGGATTGCAGTGCAGCTTCTTGCCAGTAGGCCACCAGAGCTCCCCAAAAATGGAAATTCTTACTCTACTAGTGTCCAGAGCTGCTATAAGAATGAAATGTGATGCTAATATAAAGCACCTTGTATATTTTCATTTCCAGACCCAAACTCATTATTGAGTAGATTCCGACCTCGCTGCCATGCTCTAAGACAGACCATAGAATTTCTAAGACTGTAAACTGTATGGAAGCTGACTGCCTCATCTTTCTCATACTGTGTTAAAGTCACCAACCTTCTGGTTGGCAGTTGAACACCATAACCACAGCATTACTGTAAATGGATGGCATTATTTTAGCCATCTTTATAAAATAAGAATAAAGTTCTGATTGTGTGTCCTTTTGTGGAGCAAGTAAGTATGTAGTCAGTGAAAAGGAAGATAGAGACAAGTACCATTTTAGTTAAATTTTTATTAACTGAACACCTGGTTGGTAAGACATAATGTATTTCCAGTAGCATTCCAACAACTTTCTTTAGTGCCAGGTGAGATAACCATCAAATTATAACTGCTTTACCTCAGTGTGGAGAGCTCTGGTGGCCTAGTGGTAAGCAGCAGCACTGTAATCCCAAAGGTATGCAGTTCCAATCTACCAACTGCTCCATGGAGAAGGGTGGGCAATTTCCTCCAGTGCAGTTTAGATTACTGCCTCTGAAAACCCACTGAAGGGTCAGCGGTGACTCAGTTCCCACTTGAGGTCACACAGCATACATACTGCAGCATACTATGGTATGGGTCTGTTCCAACTTGAGGACATATCACAGTCTAGCTCAGCGAGGCCTTAAGATAAAAAAGTCTTGAATCTGCAGAGGGATTTCCTCAGAGTAGTGGCCATTTGACTTGACATTGTTAAATAGCCTGTTTTGTGAGATCCAATAAGCATTATATATTAAATCCACTTGTGAAAGTGTTATTACATTCACAAATACCTGTTTACTCATCCATAGGTATTTGATAAAGCTTGGGTTAACTTTCTTTAGGCTTTGCCATAATTTGCTTTTAGTCTAGAATTTAGTATTGCGTAAGTAGGGTATTTCACTGCAGATTTTGTGTACTAGGATTTTTCTGTGTGAGTCAGCGAGGCCTACAAGAATTAGTGTGTTTCATCTGAAGATTACCAAAGAATACATTGAATGTTCTTTACAGTCCAATTTAGAAACAAGAAAGTCTTTGTAAATACATATAATTACAGAGGAAGACCAAAATATCTAACATCTTTTCTAATCTCTTCTCTGCCACAGACTCTCAGGAGTTACCTTTACACTTTTCTTTCCCTGTTCCCTGTATGCTTGTTTCCCTCCACACCCCGCCCACCATTTCCTTCTCTAATCCTTTTTGCTCATCATGTTTTTTTCTTATCCTCAGATCTCTTTTCTTTCTCTATACCCCCCTCTCTAGTTTCATTGTATGACTTACAAAAAAATCTTACAGACTAAATCTATTCTTATTATCTGATTGTGTGTCTGTTATTTACACAGTTAAGTAAAAACTAATGTTCTGCCAGAATAAAATTGACAATATTTCTACCACAGTGTGCATTGGCTGTATGTAGGTGAGTCACTGCCAGAATTATATCAAAAAATGGCTAAATTAATTAATTCAAGTTTTTAATTTATAGTTTGGAGGTATTTGGGTATCACTTTGTGTTCTCAAATAAAGCAGTTTGTCTTTATTTTGGAAATAATACCCATTTGGAAAATATAAAAAATGTGGATTTATAACACATTTGAGGAAATTTAAGCCTCATCAGTACTTCATTGACTAATGACCAAAATGAAATAGGAAAGGCCATCAATTTGGAACAGACTCATTCATACTCAACCCTCTAGCCAGTTTTCAGAGACTGCAGAATCACAGATGGGAGAAGATAGTAATTCTTCCTTCCTGAGGAGCCGATTCAAGCTGTTTGTCTCTGGGTTGACAGTGCAACTCCTTATCCACTAGAGCTTCCCTGGAAAGACATAAGCTAAAACAAGTTAGAAATGTTAACGAGAATTCGAATAGTGAATTTTCTGAGTAGTTTTCTGCTCAGTATCCAGGCATGCAACTTCCTAAAGAGTTTATTTAGAAAATAACTGTAGCAACAATAGCAAAGTTCAGCAGGGCAGCAAACAACAAATGCTGGTGAGATGTGAGAGACTGGAACTCTTATTACTGATGGAAATGTAAAATGGTACAGCTACCGTGGAAGGTGGTCTGGTGCTTTTTCAAAAGGTTGGAAATAGAAATACTTTTTGACCCAGCAGTTACACTACTGGGAATATAGCCTAAGAAACCAGAGCCATTATTCAAATACACCTGTGTTTATTGCTACATTATTCACAACAGCAAAGAGATGGAAGCAATGCAACTGCCTATCAACAAATGAATGGAAGGGAGCTCTGGTGGCCTCGTGGTAAGAAGCTGTACTGCAATCTTGAAGGCACATGGTTTGAATCCACCAGATGCTCTGTTGGAGGAGGAGGGGCAATCTCCTCCTGTGCCAGTCGGATCTGATTCGACGGTACACAACAAGAAACAAAACAAAACAAATAGAAAAAAAAAACTATGGTACATTAACACAATGGAATATTATGCAGCATTGAAAAACAATGAACATGTAAAACATTACAGAACATGGGTGACCCTGGAGGATAACTTCATTACACTGCTGTTATAATAAAATAGGACGGGGATGTTGAGAACAGAAGGGGGGGAAGTGGATAGATATTGAGCACTGCATTAAAACAGATGAGGGGAAGAACTGTCCCAAAGGAATATATATGATTAGGCATTATATGTATGATAACAGTGTGGAACAAGGAGTGCCTTTAAGGGTGGTAAAGCAATGTTCAACAATGGAATTTTTTTTTTATTTATTTAAAAGACACTAATTATGGAGTGAATTAAGAGGTTTTTCTTTGTTTCTTGAAGGTGGGTGGCAGGATGAGACCTGGCCAGATGGCTGGACTGCAGTGACAAGAGACGGGAAACGCTCAGCACAGTTTGAGCACACTCTACTGGTCACGGACACTGGCTGCGAGATCCTCACCCGGCGGTTAGAGAGTGCGCGCCCACACTTCATGTCCCAATTTTAGTTTCTCCAAATGCTGGCTCATCTCTGAGACTTCTTCTGTCTGTACTGTGCATTTTATTGAGAGTACAGAAAAGAAGAGGAAATTTTTATCACTTGTTTGTTTTGACCATAGATTTAAAACAGGACTATATAGCCTTTGATGAGTTTCCTCAAGAACTTGTCTTGGGTCTGAAAAAACATCGAGAAGAAAGAATAAAGGAAAATTACTCTTTTCAGAGCTCCCTTACCCACAGATGATCTCTGCACTCTGTTTACGCATTTGCCCTTTGAGCACTTTCATTTAAACCTGCTTCTAGTTGCATCCATCACTGCCACAACTGGCCAACAGGCACCAGCTGCTTTCCTGGTCATTTTTGAAGACTAGAATTCTTGAAACTTCAACCTGTGTTGCTCCAGATTTTGAAAAAATTATATATGTGGAAATATGTATGTGTACATTTTAAATTTCATATGCATAATTACTGAACACTACGTGACCTGGGTTTTGTGTTGATTCTGCTCTTACTGGGCTCCATGTGATCACAAATGGACCGATAGTTGCAGTGATTTAATTCCCCATTGGGAATTGGTTCCCCTCCCCCAAGCTCATGTAATTGTGCTTGTGGAAGCACTCAATGAGACTTTCTCTCAATGAGACTTTCTCTCCTGCGTGAACTCTGTGTGTCAGTGAATGAATGTGTAAAATTTCACTTTGGGGAAAAAAGCTACCAAGCTTTTTTTCCCGTTTTAGTTTGGTTGTGTTTTTTTTTTTAAATTTAGTTTATGGCAAAAATTGCCACACTTTGAGTGCTGTCTGCCTGTGACAGAGATGAGGATTGTGTAATATACTGCTGTTGTTTAGATCTTGATTTGATCAGAACTGGGAGGGTGAGAGCTCTGTAAGCACATAGTACAGCTGATTCTGAAGGAAAGGAATGACTTTGATGACCAACTGCTCCTTGGCAGTAGGGTAGCAGCAGTGTGCCAAGAACACACCTCACCTTTACAGAGTTGGAAACCTCATTAGACGTGACCTCAGCTGCCCAGTACTTCTATTTCTTCAGTCTTCTATCAGTATGGGAGAGCAGCTGATGAGACATATCAACCATAAAGTCATTTCATTAGTGAATGCTTGATTACTGGATGTCTGATGACTTTGTTGTAATCTAGTCTGACTCCACTGACACATTATACTTGTAAAAGAACATCTTTCCCAGAGTGCCTCAGACCTTTATTGCTTTAAGAAAGAATTATGATAAATGTTTTCATTACTTTTATTATTTACTGCTTTAGTAAAGTGACTGAATCTGGTACAGACTTTTGGGGGATATGTGTGTGAAGTTTTTAACAAACTATAATATTTGTGAATGGAATGCCTTGCAATAAGAATGTTAATATAATGTGTAAAGGGAGATTAAAGAGTCAATTATTATCCTACCATGTAGTCATTAATTTTACTGTATTTATTTGGGATTTGAGAGGGAGGTGGTAGAAATAAGGGGGCTGATTTTAAAATTTAAACTCATGACCAGATGAGTAAAAAACGTTTTTTTACTCCATTTTCTCAAGTTTAATGGCTACATAGAATAATGCCAGTATGCTTAACAGTTGGCCAGTAGCATTAAAGATGGCAACTTTATTTCTGAGCACTTTAAAGATAGAATGCTGAATATTTAGGGGAACATTTTACATACTGATTGATAGTAGAATTAACTATGTGGATTTATTCCAAATTTGCCATTAGTAAATAAGCTCGAAGGGAAGATATCTTGTTAGACAAATTTTTTGTCAAAAGATGTGACACCACACTTGTAATAGCTTTTCTCAGTTTAAGAAGTGTTTAAACAGTATGAACTCTTAATTGTGTTATGACTAAATGCTGTTATGTGCTATCAAGTTGGAACCAACTCCTGACTCTTCAGGAGGTTTTCAGAGGCTGTAAGTTTACAGGAGGCAATTTCTCATCTTTCTCCTACATATATCTAAGTTGTTGTTGTTGTTGTTATTGTTGTTGTTGTTGTTGTTATGTGCCATCAAGTCGTCTGTGATTTATAGCGATCCTATTACAACAGCCCTAAACCTAAATCTTATGATAGACCTACCCCCATTAATCCAGTCACTGAATCAATCCATCTCATTGAGAGTCGTCCTCTCCTGTGCTGTACCTCTACCCTTCCAAGCATGACATCCTTCTTCAAGGATTAATCCTGCCTTGCAACATGTCCAAAGTATGTTAGATGAAGCTTCAGAATCCTTGCCTCCAAGGAGCAGCCTGGCTTTACCCTCTCCAGGATGAACCTGTTCATTCTCTTAGCAGTCCATGGTATATTCAGTACTCTTCTCCAACACCACAGCTCAAAGGCATCAATTCTCCTTTTGTCATTCTCTATCTCAAGTCATTGTCCAGCTCTCTGATGCATAGCAAGTAATTGCAAAGACCATGGCCTGTATCAGGTGCACCTTAGTCTCCAGACTGACATCATTGTTCTTCAGTACTCTGTAGAGATCACTGACAGCAGACTTTCCCAACACAATATGTATTTTAATTTCCTGGCTACTGGAAACTTTTTTTTAAAAAAAAACATAGATGACGTAAATACACATGGTATTTTGAAGAGAGAAGGAATAGTTAATTTGAGAAAGGACAAGGGTGGTAGAGCAGTTTGGAAAACTCAGACATAGGAGGTATCTTTAATCACTGCCTCATAAGAACCACCATTGTTCTAGACCTTCTTCCTCAGTTATTTAGTTATTCATTTATTTAGATTAGTCATTGTCCAGCTCTCTGATGCATAGCAAGTGATTGCAAAGATCATGGCCTGTATCAGGTGCACCTTAGTCTTCAGACGGATGTTATTGCTCTTCACTGCTTGGAGAGGTCTCAGACAGAAGACTTTCCCAGTGCAATTCATCTTTTGATTTCCTGATTGCTGGTACCAGGAGTGCTGATTTGTAGAGCCAAGAAAACGGAAGCTGTTAATAATCTTAATCTCTTCACCATATATATCTAAGGAGAAATATTTATTTATTGGATTACAGTGAGAAAACATCTCATTTCACCATTTTGCCATCTTTTCCTCAAAATAAGAGTACTCATTTTAAAAAGAAAACTTTCCTACCAATTCTTCATTTCTCTTGGAATTCAAAAACTCATTGCCTTTGAGGTGGAACCGACTCATAGCTGACCCTCCAGCTGATTTTCAGGTATCTGTAAATTGACTGGGAGGAGATTGTCCATCCTGAAGAGTGGCTTGTGGATTCAGACTGCCGAACAGACACTCCCGTTGAGTTAGCGCAACTCTGTCTTTTGCTGATAAAATGGATTTAAGTATATTAGAACCCTTTTACCAGCTCTTCTCTACTACTTGCCATCTATATGACTAAATAAGCAAGAGGAGATTTAGGAGTTTGTCATCTTCACTTGATTGTTGTAAACACTTCTATTTTTTTCACTGAGTGAGTTTTATTAATATTCAGAACAGGATGATCTGCTCTAAAGTTCCCAAATGACTTTCTTCTGGTTAACCTCCTGTTTTTTTAATTTTGAGAATTTTCAAGTTTGTAGGAAAATTTTTAGTATAATGAAATAATCATCTATCCCTTGCCTGTATTCAACAGTTATTATCATATTTGCTTTGTTTCTGCATAAGCACAAAGATCTCTGGTGACATAACCCAAAGGGACTGTTAATCCACAGGCTACACCTCTGGACGTTCAATTCTGTCATGCTTCCTCAGAAGAAAGATGGGCGGGCAGTCACGTTCCAAGCAGTTTATAGCCTTGGTTACCCATTGGAAGATCAGCAATGACCTAGTTCCAACTTGACAGCAGTGAATTAAGTTGAATCTATAAAAGCACATTTTCAAAAAACCCTATGTATCGGGTGACGCTTACAGAACAGACTGGTTTTCCATTTAACAATCATACACATTTGTTTCATGTTATTCATTGATGCACGTTGATCACACGGGAGATTGCCCATCCTTCTCCTGCAGAGCAGCTGGTGGTCTTGAACTACGTTCCTTTGGGCTTGCAGCGCAGCTTCTTGCCATTAGGCCACCTGGCTCAAGAACACTTGATTGTACTAATGAGAAACCTATACTTGGACCAAGAGGCAGTCCTCAGAACAGAGCAAGGAAACACTACCTGGTTCAAAATTGGCATGTGTCCTGTCTCCATACCTTTTCAACCTGTATGCAGAACAGATTATCTGGGAGGCTGGGCTCTGTGAGGAGAAATGTGGGGTCAAGATTGGTGGAAGATCTATCAACAATCTGTGTTATGCAGATGACACAACCCCACTTGCTGAAACTGAGAAGACCTGAGGCGCTTCCTACAGAGGGTCAAGGACTGCAGCCTTCAATATGGATTGAGGCTCAATGTCAAGAAGACAAAGATCCTCACCACTGGATGACGGTGAAGAGATTGAGATTGTTCACAGCTTTAGTTTGCTTGGCTCCACAGTCAACACTCTTGGCACCAGTAGCCAGCAAGTTAAAAGCTGTATTGCCATGGCAAAGTCTGCTGTTACGGACCTCTCTAAAGTACTGAAGAGCAATGGTGTCTCTCTGGAGACTAAGGTGCATCTGATACAGGCCATGGTCTTTGCAAACACTTGTTATGTATCAGAAAGTTGGACAATGACTAAGGAGGATAGAAGGAGAATTGATGCCTTTGAGCTGTGATGCTGGACAAGAGTATTGAGAGTACCATGGACTGCTAGGAAAACAAACAGATTTGTCTTGGAAAGGGTTAAACCTGGCTGGTCCTTCAAGGCAAGGATTCTGGGGCTTCATCTGACATACTTTGGACATGTCAGGAGAGACTGATCCTTGGAGAGGAACATCATGCTTGGGAGGGCGGAGGGACAGCGCAGGAGGGGAAGACCCTCTATGAGGTGGATTGATTCAGTGACTGGGGTAATCGGGATGGGTGTGTCAGAGACAGATTGGCACAGGACACAGCAGAGTTTAGGGCTGTTTTCTATAGGGTCGCTATGAGTCACGGGTGACTCAAAGGTACATAACAATTCATTGATACTCCCCAGAATGTAACATCATTTATCCCACTTCCACCCTGTCTCCCGTTTCCTTTCTTAGATCTTAACTGTCCCTGCCTTCTGAGGGAGCTCTGTTAGGTGCCATTGAGTAGGACTCCATGATGCTGTGGACAACAGATCTGAATCCTGACCTTTTCTAGCTTCATCATATCTGACAGCCCATTGCTGCAGTCACTGTATGAGTCCATCTGGTGGAGGATCTTGTACTGTGAACCCAAAGGTATGTGGCTTTGAAT